TTGATTAAAGCGACAACTTAATGAACCATTCTTGAAAAAAAAAAACTGTAATTAGAAATGAATGAGAAAGAAAAAAAAAAAAGGTTAATTTGGTGTTTGCATGAGAGTTAGTGTAGGGTTTTATTTTTTCAAGAAAAAGGGAAAGAGATATATATGTGTGTGTGTAACTGAAAAACTGTCTCTTTCTTTGGCTCCTAGGATGCCAAAAACCCGAAGAAAGTTCCGTGGGTCCCAACTATATATATATCATTTTTTTCCCTCATGCATGGCATCTATTTTTCATCACCAGGTTTATTCTTTCTATGGATTTTACGTTTTTTATTTTATTTTATTTTTAAAGTACATCCAAGCATATTATATAGCTTTCTTTAATTTAATATTTATTCTCACAAACACCATTTTTATGATTTTTGTCATTTCTTTTTGTGCAAAAAGGAGAACCATTTTTCAGTTTATTAGGAAGGGAGTTTTATCAATACAAGATCCGAAAGATGTGTAAACTATCAATGTGGGGCATGAAAGATTTTTTTACTCAATTCGGGACTTAAATGTTATAAAACTATCAAATTAAAGACCCAAAAGATGGTTAAATTATCAATGCGGGACTTGAATATTTTTTTTCTCAATTTGAGACTTAAATGTTATAAAACTATCAAATTAAGTCTAGAATTATAAAAACTCACAACACCATTAAATTTAGAGTTAAAAAAAAAAATAAAAGATCGGCGTTTACTCACATAAAATAATAACTAAACATTTGCATAATATTAAAAAAGAAAAGAAAAGAAATGGACGATAGCAAGAAAACCGAACAAGAGCTTCATACTTTACTTAATTTTCTCCAACAATCTCGTATTTTCCTCAATTTTTTTTTCTTTTTCTTTTTTTTACTTTGTAACAAATTTGGTGTTTTAAAACTTCAAATTATCTCTAAATTTAATGGTGTTATGAGTTTTGTTAATTCTAGACATAATTTGATAGTTATATAACATTTAAGTCCCGAATTGAAAAAAAAAAATCTTTCAGGCCCCGCATTGATAATTTACCCATCTTTTGGGTCTTTAATTTGATAGTTTTATAACATTTAAGTCCCGAATTGAGAAATTTTTTTTTTCAGGCCCCGTATTGATAGTTTCCTCATCTTTCGGGTCTTGTATTGATAAAACTCCATTAGGAAGATATATAACAATCTAGAAATATTTCCCTTTGATTTACAACAACGTACCTTCAGATATAGTACACAATAAGTTTTGTTTGGTAAAACTAGCTAATAACTGATAAGTTATATTCGATTCTATAGATTATATCTTGTGACTTATAACTGAAAAGCTAGCTTGTACGATAAAAGTGTTTGGTAAAATTAGTTGATAAGCTAGTTAAAATAAAAACTTCAACGAGCTTATTTAAAAGTTATCTAAAGAAACTTATGAAATAAACTCGATTTTTTTTTTTAAGTAAAAAAATTGTTCTACCAAACGAATCTTATTTTGAATACATGAAGTTTATAATAAACTAACTAAATAAAATATAAGTTAACTTATCTGATTACCAAACATCGTGTGGACTAGCCATCTCTCACGGTTTTGCTATGAAGCGCAACAATTGGCTCCATAGTGAAGTCAACTTTTTATATACAACAAGTAAACCATACCATATTAATAAAATTATTCATGTTATTTAAGTAATCGGATAATATTGGATAGTTTACTTGTTGTATACGAAGATTGACTCCACTATGAAGTCAACTGTTGGTTTCATAGCAAAACCGTCATCTGTCAATGCCAACATTTATGAAGGGAAAGTGAGCAATATGGAAACAATCCAATCAATAGATCATTGGAAAAGCAAAAAGGAGAAAAAAGTGGGAAAGGAAACAAAAGAAAAAGAAAAAAAAAAGGCTTAGAAACATAAGTCTCCTTTAATTAGCATATAATATATATAATTAATACTATTCATCACGTAATTAAGGTATGAATATAAAAAAATTTAACGAGTGAAAATGGAGAATAATTAATTACCTGTTTAATAATCTCAGTGGAGGTGCAGCCCATTATGAGTTCCTCAAGCCCAGATCCAGTTGAGGATGATGCCTTATTATTATTATTATGATGGGCCTCTGCTTCTTCTTGTTGATGCTGTTGACGCCGAAAGGGATAATTACATTAATAACCCTTTACTATTATTTATTTATTTATTTATTTATTTGCTTTTTTATTATTTATGTACACCAAATTATCTAACTATATATATGGACATCATCATCATGTATATCATCATGGATTGTCTGCTGGAATTGTAAAGCGGAACATTCCTTAATTATTATTATTATCACATTATTATTATTATTATTATTTGTGACCACTGTGTATATTTCTAGCTATTAATGGAATACAGACAAACCCAACTGACATTTCTCTTCACGCATCCTTTCATTTTATATTTTAATTATTGGAAAATGCTAAGGTCTCGTTACGGAACTGTTAGATTATCATGTAACCGTAAGGAATAGTTGATCTAACGGCCCCGATGAAATGATCCCATAACGGAACCGTAGCATTTTTCTTAATTATTTGATCGACTTTAAGCCATCTTACTCTCGCCTTAATATGCTATAGTTGACGATATAACCGTTAGACGGATCAATCTGCTATAATTTTTTTTAACAGAAATAGATATTTATTATGTACCTGGAAATTTTGATGAGGGAAGATGATCCTAGGCACGTGATGATGAAAGGGGTCAAGAATATGGTCAATGGTCGGTGGTATAATGCCAATGGCGGAGACAGTAGGAGTGCTGACGTGGAACGCTGAATGATGGTGATGATGATGATGTGTCATGTCACGCTCTTGGCACGTGCCAGATTGTTCTCCCATTTCTTTTCTCATCACATTCATTGCGATTGAGCCCTCCCCAACAATGTTGTTCCCTCTCTCACCACTCATCTCCTGCTGCTGCTGCTGCTGCTGCCAAATATAATAAAACTTAAAAATTAAATACATTTTTGCTATTATATATATATATATATATATATATATATTGTCACCTTCAAAATGTGTTTTTTGTTTTTTAGTTAAAAAATAAGCCACGTCATATTTAATTATAAATTTGGTTCAGGTGGGTGAACTAAAACTAACTATACTAATACTAACGGGTGATTCTACGGTCCCGATACACAACCACTACGTCGGGGTTTGTAACCGTTATATCAATTATCCACAACGGCTGCATAATGATTTAACGGTTAAAATCCCGACGGAATGGTTCCGTAACATTTCCTAATATTATATACTACCAACAAGCCTGCAGAGAGAGTTATGTGCTTTAATTAATTAATTAATGCAGGCCTGTTGTTATTATCAAGAATGTCCGCTATGATTTTCATACTTTTGTCATAAGCAATCAGAATGTGGGGAATTAAGCTGTTCTTTTCATCCATTTTGTATCATGCAGACATATATACCTTTAATTAACTATAACCAGATTGAGACTCTTTCTTATGTAAAAATAAAAAATAAAAAAATAAAAAATCATGCAATATTTTCATTGTTATTTCAAATATATATGCTACAATTTGTGATTATTTTTCCAAAAAAAAAAAAAATGAGAATCCATTAATAAAATTCGGTGCTTACCTCGTTCCTATACGGGAGGAAGCCGAAATGGTCGGGCTTGTTGAAATGCTGCTGCATATGATCATCAATTATGCTATTGTAACCGGACATTTTGGGGTCCAAAACAACATTTACAGTCGATAAGTCTCGGGAGGTCGAGCCCTTAAGGGCCTCCGAATTATTCGGATTAGTACTAATAGTGCTGCACTGTCTCGGTTGGGTCTGGTAGAAAATCTTCGAGACGACGAGCTCCCCTTCTCTCTCCTCCTCGTGTTGGCCCAAGTGGTACTGATGCATCACCCAATTAGTCTTTTCGGGTTTTCGGTTCTTGCCGAAGTTTGTGTATAGCACGAGGATCTTCTTGCATCCTTTGTGCTTGTTTTGGACCATCACGGGTCGGGTCTTGCCCGTTTTGTGCCACCGGGTCTCGCCGCCTTGGAGGTCGCATTCCGTTTGGATCTTCCTACGTTTTCGTGTGCCCGTCGTGTATGCCTTGGACGGCCGGTGGAAAAAGTGTCGGCTCAAACCGTCTCTCGTCACGCCTGCACCGTGTATTTTTATTTATTTGTTTATTATGTTATTTATTTAAGAAAAAAAAAATATATATATATAAAAGATAGAGAGATTGAATGGGAATCAAAGTTAGGTTTGCTTTGGTGTGACAAAAAATGTGAACTTGACATCTAACCCCTTTTTTTCCATCTTTATTTCATTAAAGTTCTCACTAGCTACCAAAGAGAAGGGGAATATNNAAAAAAAAAAAAAAAAAAAAAAAAAAAAAAAAACAGAAAACCCTAAAGTCATTCCTAACTGATATACACACATATCAGCTTCCAAGAAAACCAATAAATAAATAAATAAATAAATAAATAAAAAGAGTTTGTTTATATTATATTATATATATATATAGTAAATAAATAGATATGGAGGTTGAAGTAGTTTTGACCTGGGAGCTTCTCAGGATGAGTGTAGCAAATCCCATCTTCACCTTCAATGGTAGGAATGAACTCATCAATCAAAGGATGCGATTTCGAGTCCTTCCCCTCGACTTTAGCTTCAAGATGTTCGATCAACTCCTGATCGGTCGGGTCGAATTTCACGCCCGCCGGTAGACCTACCCAATCCTGCACCACATCAAAGATAAGACTGAGAAAAAAAATATACTAATAACATGTGATAAATATATACTTTGAGCATGTGATTCACAAAACTTGAACATGAAGACAAGAATGTTATATATACATATATATATATATATTTTTTTGGTTACATTATACGCGAAAAATCAAATTAAAAAATAAAATAAAATAAAATATATACGTGTGTGACTTACCGGCTTTGCTTCGAGCTTGTGGCCACAACCGGGGCAGTGTTTAGCTCCGCATAATTGATGCTCCTCAAGCTTTGCGTCTATCAGATCGGAACTGGTCACCGATCCGAGCTGGCTACTCTTATTCATGCCTCAAACAAACACTACTTAATTATCCTGCTCGCCTCTTTTTCTTTTCACAAATTGTTTGAGTAACTATTAACAACTAATCATAAAAACCTTAATAACAATAACCTCATCTCCATCGAAAACCTTAATTATCTGTTGCATACTCTCATTTATCTTCAACACCTTTGTGGGTCTAAACGAAGACGAAGAAGAAGAAGAAGATCAGTACATCTACTAAAAAAAATGCCCAAAAATAAAATATAAAAAAAAAATTTGCTTGTAATTTTCAAGAACACAAAAATATGGGAAAAAAATAAAATAAAATAAAATAAAATAAAATAAAGCCTGGAAGATTCTTTATAGAACAAAATCCAATCTTGAAGCCCTAAGAATATTTAAAGAAACAAAAAAATGAACTGGGAATAGATAAAGATGAATGAAATAATTAATGAAACAAAGAATTAAA